GCCTCCTCAGCAGCACTAAGGATGTCAGACTGCAGCTTAGGCCTGCTCCCCGCTGGCAAGTGGACATCCCCCGAGGGCTCCCGGGCTGCCAGAGGGATGTCTGATTGCCAGCTTAGGCCCAATCCCCCGGGGAGCGGGCCTAAGCCAGCAGGTGGTCATCCCCCGAGGGGTCCCAGACTGCGAGAGGGCACAGGCCGGGCTGAGGGAACCACCCCCTCCCCCTGAGTGCACAAATTTTTGTGCACCGGGCCTCTAGTATATATATAAAAATAATATGTGTTGCAAATATTTTTCTCACTATGTTGGTTTTTCCTTTTTAGTGAGATGTGCTATTAAATATCAATTTTTTCGTTTTTATATAGTCAAATTTTTCTCTTTCTAATTTATTCTGTTATTTCTAGGCTTATAAAGTTTTCTCCCTCAGAAATTAGATAAAAATGTATTGCACTTTCATACCACTTTTACCTTGATTTGATGTTTTAGTATGTAATGATATCTTTGTGGGTTATTTTGGTCTATTGAGAAGTCTCTTCCATCTCTCCTTTTCACAGTGATTTTTTTTAAAGATTTGTCTTTTTTGCTATCTCTCTTTCCTCACATCCAGTTTTTCTAACCACACCACATAAAATGACTTCCATTCTGATCGCCATGTTAAGTCAAATGAAGGGTTAGCCCTTATATTATAAGACCTCAAGTCAGTATTTGACACAGCTATTGATCACTGTATTCTTTGTAAAAGAGTCATCCATTAGTCTCTGTGATTTCCACACTCCCGACTTTTCGCCAACTTGTCACCTCTCTTTTGTAGCCTCATCCTTCTCTAGTTTAATTATTGAAGTTCCTCACAACTTTTTACTGGCTTTTCTTCTCATTTATACTCTTACCCTAAGTAAGCCCCACTGTTCCCATTCTTGACTTCAGTTATCATCCAGATAACTGCTTGGCTCCAGACCTAGAATTGCCTACTTGACATCTTAACTTGACCCTGTTAAAGAACCTCAAGCTCAACATATGCAAAGTAGTTATATAATCTAAATATTCTAACACCTCACCTCCACCCTCCAGTGCCCCCCCAAAAAAGCTAATTAATTTCTGATCCGTTTTCTAAGAATCCCAGTGTCAATGAAAAGCTCTACCATCTGTGTTGTTCCACAACCCAGAAAATGTACAAGTTATTCTTGACTACTCCCTCCGTCACCTCCTATAGATAATCCAGCACCCCTTTCTATCCAATTTAGCTCCTAAATTGCCCATTTTCTTCACCTCTACCATCAAAAACCCAGTTCAATCTACCATTATCTGTCATCTCTATTACTAAAATATTCTCTTAACTAGTCTCCCCACTTTGACTCTACCTCCTTCCAGGTTGTTCTAACGCAGCAGTAATATTTTCCAAACACAAACTTAATCATTTTATTCCCTGCTTAACGTCATTTTGGGGCATCTTATTGTTTTGAAGACAAAACCAAGAATGTTTATTTGACATAGAACTTCATTAATCTCTATGGGCTCATTTCATGTTTATTCTCTACTCTAGATTGCTTTGAGTATCTCAAGCTCACTCTGCTGCCCTCAACTTTAGGGACTCTACACATGCTTTTCCTTTTTCCTGTAACACCTTTCCTTGCCCTTCTCTTGGTTAACTACCAAGTATCCCTAAGATCCCCTTTTAATCAATTTATTTAGAGAAGCCTTCTCTGACTTACACAATATCAGATATACCCAGATACGTGACACCGTATGCTTGTCCTTCACAGTACTGGATCACTGTCTTGTCTCCAATAGAATGCACAGTGCCAGGCACTAATAGGCCCTCAGTATTCATTGATTGAATGAATAAATTCATGATTATTTTTCAACCTAAATTATAGAATCATCAGGCTTTTTAATCAAACTAAGGTTATTTAATTTGGGAAAAATGGGACATACTATCAAATGTTATTTTTCATTTACTTAAATCTTTTATTTACTTAAATCTTTTATCACTCTTGTGGGTTATATATTTCTTATTAAAAGTTATCCTGTGCTTTTTTAATCTTATTTTTTTAATTTATTGTGTAAAGTTTTACATATGTCTCCTTTTTCCCCGATTGACACTCCCCCCTCCCCCTAGCCATTCCCACCCCGGGCAAACCCCCAACGCCCCAGTGTCTGTGTCCATTGGTTATACTAATATGCATGCATACAAGTCCCTAAGTGTTGTGTTATAAGTGGAATCTCTAGTTGCTTATTGTTGGCATTTAAGCTTTTTTATCTGTATCCAGTTAGTTTTTTTCCTACTTTATTTAGAATCTTACTACTAGAAACGTATATGTTTTTTAGCTAAAATTATCTAAAACTGAAAGATTTTTAAATAGTTTTTATCTCTCTTGATCATCAGCTATACTTTGGATCATAAAACTGGGGGGATGTTCTCTAGATTTTAGTCAAAGAATAGTCTTACTGAGAAGATAGCTTCAGGGCAGTGCCCCACCCTTGAGAATTTAAGACACTGATTAAGTTAACTGGTTTGGGAAATTTTTATAATTAACATCTATATAAAACTTAGAGCTTATACAGTTCTTTCATATGTCATTTTTATATTTATTCACCTATCCTTAAACCTTTTAAGATAGGTATTATTATTATTACTGATAAATAATTGAATCTCAGGGAAATTAAGAGACTTTTACATGGTCATTAAAATATTGAGTTCCTGAACTGATGTTATACCCCAGGACTCATTCTTGAGAGCTTATGCTGTTTCTCCTGTATCACATTGCTTTTCATGTGTGTACAAAACAAACTGAAAGTCCTTAATTGTTTACTAAGTGAGTAATAAGCTAGAAACTTTCCTAGAATATTTCTTCTGAGTATTTTTAATATTTTATTTTTATATGAATCATTTAGACAATTATTTTAAATTATTTTTCTTATAGGAACCTCCAGAAGTTTAGCCTTTTTGGAGATATAAGCGTTCCACTACAGCAAGGAAATTTGTCAAGTACATACCTCAGCAAGGTGGACCCTGATGGCAAAAAAATCAAGCAGTAAGTTATATAGTTAGTAGAAAGGGGCTTATTTAATAATAATTTCAGTTTTTTTTGAGAAATTTTAAGGTATGATACAATCAGAAGAGTAATGATTATTTTTCTAAAAAGAGCATATGTCCTGGAAATGTCTTAACAATGAAATACAATAACCATTATATGCCATTTCGTGTCGTAAGTTTTAAGACAAATCAAGGAATTTTCTGGGTAATTATTGCTTTGTGAAACTTATTTCTCGGCTTGCTTTTGCTATAACACAAATTGTATGTCACCAGTCTTTCCTGCTATACTGGAATAAAATGCTGCTTTCCTTGAACATATCTCTATATTTTTAATATGTCTATATGTTTAATACATCTTATTCCTTATATTTTAATGTGAATTTTAATGGCATTTATGATAATACTTGTGAGTTGGATAGAAATTAACTGAGAGAAAAATGGATCTCAAAATTGCATGCCATTTCATTGCCTGTTTTTTTAAAAAAAAGTCTTAAAAGATTAGAGCCAAATGTTAACAGGATCTTTGTGGCATGTGTTTTTCTTACAGAATTCAGCAGCTGTTTGAAGAAATACTGAGTAATAGTAGGCAACTGAAATGGCTGTCCTGTGGGTTTATGCTGGAAATAGTAACCCCAACATCACTGTCATCTCTCTCAAACTCTATTGCCAACACCATGGAGCACCTGAGTTTACTGGACAACAATATTCCTGGTAACAGCACCCTTATCACTACAGTGGAACTAGAGCGATTTGTGAATCTGCGCTCACTTGCCCTGGATTTCTGCGACTTTACAGCTGAGATGGCAAGAGTCTTAAGCGATAGCAACCATGTGCCTTTGCAGCGACTGTCTCTCCTGGTCCACAATGTTTCTGTGATGCACAAGTCTCTGGACAACATGCCAAATGATGAGCATTGGAAAGCCTTGTCACGAAGGAGCCCCAGCCTCCGGGTCTATATCATGGCTTTTGATATTAAGAGTGAAGACATGTTAAAGATTCTGAAACCCAGTATACCACTAGAGAGGATTCATTTTGACAGCTACATCACTTGTGTTTCAGGAGCTATTGTTGATCTTATATCTAGGCAGTATGACAAGTTCCTCACTCATTTCATATTAATGAATGATGTGATTGACACGTCTGGTTTTCCAGATCTTAGTGATAACCGAAACGAAGATCCATTGGTGTTATTAGCGTGGAGGTGCACAAAGCTTTCTCTTCTGGCAATTCATGGTAGGTGATTTTCGATTAGTTTAATTTGATATCAGTATTACATCTGAAATGTTTTATGCTATAAAAGATAACATTGGCATTTAGTGTTAAGAAATCTTATAACAAATTGATATGCAGATTTTTAGACTTTAAAGTTTATAAGTTATATCACTTACAAGTAGGAAGTCACATCTCTACCCTAAGGATTCTTATCCAAGTTCTGTTACTTTTTCTTCCATCACGCGATTTATGGCATTTCACAAAAATGGTATTTGAAATCAATTTATCTAAGAAAACATATTTACTGACAGTAAAAATATTTCCTGTAATCACAGATCTCTTAAAAAGATAACATGGAAGGAAGAGAAAGTATGATTTTTTTTTCATTCCCATTGCCCCATCTTCTAGATTCTAGGTATTACCATATTAATTTATATGACTTTTTTTTTTTTTGGTGATTCCATTGATTGGGCATATTCTTATTTTATACTGGGGCCTTTCATCTTAATGTGAACTGTTCTTATTTGGAGAGAGAGTTTCATTCTGATAAATTAGAAAAACATTTTACTTCCTTTTTGATACTTATAAGACATGTACAGGGTACAAATTAGGAAGTCTCTGTGAACTTATCTTACACTCCCTTTATTACCTCTGTTTCTTTTCTTTTTAGCCACATTTGTGTCTTGCTTTTCAAGTTTTGTTTTGTAATTTGGTCAGCCAGCAGAGATAGTAGCAAAGAATAGACCAATGTTGAAGGTAATAAATAAAATGAGGATTTTGAATGGGATAAAGAAATGTTAGGTTATTTTCAAAGTTAATTTAACCTAGTCTTTTTAAAGCTTTTTTTTCTTCTTTTAGTAAATAAGATGTTAGATACAGCTAAAGCCTCCCATTTTATTCCTTCCCAGAGGTAATTATTATTCTGAAGTTAGTATATATCATTCCCATGACTGTTTTGCACTTTACATATTTGCTACTGACAATTAACAATTTATCTTTAAAGTTTAAAGTGTCACTTCATAACTTTGGACTATGAATGATTTTCACTAATGAAAAACACCAGTTTAATTATATATTATTAATGGACACATATATATGAAGTAAAAAAAAAATTTCTTTATGCTACATCATTATCCAGTTAGAAAATTATATTTTAAACATGTATGATTTTACTAAATGTGGTATCGGAATAGGATTACAGCACCTTCCATTTCACCACCCACAGTAAATTCTTGGAGACAATATCAAACTTAGTCTTTTTTTTTTTTTTTTTTGCTCACTAAACAATCATACTTCCTTCTCAAATCTCAGTATATTTTTAAAGGAAAAGGACCAAAGTAGTCATTGTGATACCAATTTGTGGAAAAGATTAACTTATCATATAGACAAAATAAAATGCAAGGAAATTATAATGCTTGTGTTTTGCTTTTTTTAAAGGTTACACAGTGTGGGCACACAACCTCATTGCCATTGCTCGTCTTCGTGGCTCTAATCTAAAAGTACTTGAAGTCACCGAAGAAAGCATTGATTTTGACCAAGGTGAACTGGCCGACCAGGATGTGGATCCAGTGCATAACCTTATTGAGCAGGTATCCCTGGGCCTGGGTCAACCTTGGCACGCAGTCATGGACATCGAATCACTCAGTGTCTTCACTGAACCAAATCGTCATTTTTACAGAGAGATGCAAAGCTTTAGCGAAGACATTTAGCTTTTTTTTAAATGTACAATTCCTGTGGTTACATATGCAAGTAGGGTCCTATTATGTTTTTTTCAGTAGTGTGAATTAATCCCTTTGTGCTGTGTTTAATCAGTATTAGCTTCATAGAATTATATATGTATATTCTACTTCTTGATCAAAGAACGTAGTCGGGTATTGGATTAGAAGTTCAAAGTGACAATGTATAGGGCTTTCACGGTTAATAGACTTGTTACCAAACCTTAAAGATACACAACCGAAGGTTGTCTGAGGTTGCTGGCTAACTTTATTTTTCACTGAGTTACTCTCTCTTTTTGATTATTTTATTCTTTGTGTGTCAGAGTTGAACTCAGGAGCCAAAATATTTTTATACATATATAGATATATACCCATAGCCTGGTGGATTTGTATGCAATATACTGCATTCACGCATTCTAATATCATTTCATTAATTTTTATTTAAAATCGAAGGGAGGATAATGTCCCAAATGAGTTATCTTTAACAGAAAAGCCAAGATTTTAACTTTCATTACATATATAAAATTGATTATCACCAATTACCATTCTGAATTTTGTATAGTATTAGGTTAGAATCTTGCTTAACCCTTTTTTAAAATGCATTTACATAAACAAATACTCAAATTGTTGGATTTTTAGAAACTATATCTGACATGATTTTATTTATCAATTATATTACACATTCAAGTTAGCTTTTAAGCCCAGATTTCAAGTAGTGGAGGTAAAACCTTCTAAAAGAAAATAAAAAAAACAGAATTGTAAACACACATTAGTCGTGAAATCCCTAGCAACAAGTCACTGAATTTTTCTCTGTCAGCGCGCGTGTCAGCTGCCAAAGAATAGACTTAACTGAAGAAGTGCCCACATGCTGGCAGGGGCCGGCCCACTCTGGCCAGCCAGATTCTGCTAGATTGTAATATTTAAGGTCGAATTATGGCAGTGTAGAAATTGCTTTTTTTTTTACAACAAAAAAAAAAAAAAAAAAAAAAAAAAAAAAAAAAAAAAAAAGAAAAAAAAAACATGCACCTGTTTCACTGTGAATAGTGAATGTAAAGGAAGAGAGGAAAAACTGAAAACTTGTTCTATCACAGGTATGAGCTGCTATAATACATGAAGAACATTCCATGAAGTATGTTTTAAAACCTTGTTATATCTGAGAGGCTTTAAAAGCCAATTTAACTGTTTCAGGGCAACCGCGGTACAGATGTGGTCTCTGTGAGACTTCCATCTGACCCCAGTTTTAAGTGGTATGAATGTTGTGCATTTAGTGTTAACGAACAGTCTGCAATAATAAAGTAGCCAACATGGGTGCCCAGCAGTGCTGAGACCTGGCTGCTCTATTGTAAGCTTTGGAAACACAATTTATGCAACAGATGTCCAGATATGATTCTATTTATGGAAAAAGTTTATATGTGTTTTACAAATGGTTTTACCATCTTATATTAAAATGACCTTTTGACAGGTGTGCACTGTTTTGTCTCCAGTGGGCACATACCATGCGGATTTTATATGTACATCAGTAGTGTGAATCCACTGGCACAGTGTGTGTAAATGCCAGATGTGGTGAGATTTTATCTTATAAATGTGATCAGATAAAATAACTCCTGACAGAAACTGTAAGGAAACCAGCTGAATGTTTGACCTGATGACTGATGTTATATGGTTTATGTTAAATGTATATTCTTTTAATCAATGAATAAAGCATTAAAAAGTGGTCATTGATATATAGTTTATTGTTTATGAAGCATGAAAACTTTTAGTATTAAATAAACTGCAATACTCCTTATATTGTGTATAATTATATGTTAGCTCCTATTGTAATCTGAGCAGTGAAGCTCAAATTTGAGAATATATCATAAATCTTAAACTGAATAGTTGGGAAGAATTTAATATTTTACCTCACCTTGGCTATATATAAGCTTAAAAGCAGACTATAGACTGGTTAGCACACAAAAAAGCAACTTAACTTCAATATGCCAGTATTAAATATAGTTTATAAACCCCTATATTGCTTTAGTTTGGCTTTGCAGTCTTCATTTTGGATGTTGAGGCAAACGGCTGTCATTTATGAAGAAAATGGCTCTTTTCCTTCCATCCTTAATCATTCCAGATACAGTTTCTTCTAGGCACTGCCTCACTTTGGAACTGTCATCATACCTGCTGCATCCTTGTTAGACACACCTAACTCCTCTGAATAAATCACCATGTTTATGTATTTAAAGAACCAAAAAGTACTCAAAAATGTATTTTAAAAAAGGGAAGCCTATTTATATATGAGTGATATACAAGCTTAGGTTGGTACAGTGAGGCACAGAACTAGGAGACTTGACACCTGTTGTCCACTCTACGCTCTGACTCTAATGCTACATGAGCCCAGACTCTTCCTTGAGCTTCAGTTTCCTCATCTGTGAAATGAAGGATTGGACTTGGTTATCTAAAACTCTGATTATTCATCCAAAATTTTAACCCTTGTTAGCCAACAGCTTATAGACATCTTTGAACAAATGTATTAAATAAAATACTCTCAAAACATAGCTTACTGTGAAATTTACATATTGAAAATTACATTCACACTTCTCCCACCACCCTAGGAATTAAGAAAAGTTAGGGATTCGGTGGAGCCAGGCTTGGAAAGGAAGTGTGCTTATGCTTGAACACATGGTTTCAAAACCTAAATTGCTTGGGGCCTATAGCATGAATTAGATTGGATCTCTACAAAGGTAGTACATAAAATGGTTCTAATGGAGTTAATACACAAGAAGCTATGAAAACCCAGTAACTCCCCCCCATTGCCTATATCAAGGTTTCCCAACCTTTTCATGTCCTGACATAATTAGAAAATATTGTACACCGAACTGATATAAACTGGGAGGAATTGGAGCAAAAAATAATCCTTTTTATAATCCTCACCTGAGGAAATGTCTTTTTTGTTTGTTTTTATTTCTTTTAGAGAGGGAGGAAGGGAGAGATTGGGTGCTTCCATAGACACCCTGACTGGGGATCAATCCCACAACCTGGGTATGTGCCGTGACCAGGAATCAAACGTGACCTTTCGGGATACCGGGATAGCACTCCAACCAACTGAGCCATACTAGCCAGGGATCATATTCTTTATTCTATAATTGGTGAGAAGAATAAAATGAAGATTTGGGAATCATGAATTTGTTTAGAACTTTCAAATAAAGTCTTGTCATGTTTTAACTGATAACCTCTTAAAAATTTTAATATTGCCACCAATGAGAAACCCCCCACAAATAAGTGATTTTTAAACCTTTTTCTTCTCACAAGCATTCAAAACTTACGAAGCTGAATTAAACTTAAAAAATTTAACTGTTCTTCCCTAGCCAGTTTAGCTCAGTGGATAAAGCATTAGCCTGCAGACCAAGCGGTCCCGGATTCAGTTCTGGTCAAGGGCATGTACCTTAGTTGCAGGAGGCAACCAGTCGATGTGTTTCTCTCACATTGATGTTTCTCTCTGTCTTCCCCCCCTCTCTCTCTTCCACTCTCTCTAAAAAAATGAATGGAAAAATATCCTTTGGTGAGGATAAACAACAATAAAGAAATTTATTCTAATGTAATAGTAAATGTGATACTGAGATTTGTGAATTAATTTCAAATTCAAGTGATTTTTTTTCATTATAAGTATTTTAAAATAACAATGCTCTCACTTATAGTCTCCTACACGTGACCATGCCCTTAGTTCAGCCACCACAGAGAGCAGACATCAGCTACCAGTAGACAAGTATGTAACTTGTAAGTCAACTAGAGGCCTGTGGAGCCCCCTCCTCTCACCTCCACCTCCCAATTTCTTCACACATCTAGGGCTTCACACACCTGGCCTTTCCTATCTTCTCCTAGGATACCTGGAACATACTTCTCTCACAGCTTCATAGACCCCCCCACCCCCTCCTTGTCCATGATGGACAGTGGAGCACTCTGCATCTGGCAGGGGCGTAGCAAGTGCTCTCCACGAAGAGGTTGAAAGCATCTCTAAGCAACCAGTCAGGGCTCCCAGCCACCCAGAATTCAGGAAGCCTGCAGGGGCATCACTCTGGTTCAACCTCCTAACTTGGCTTTCTGGTTTTGGAAAGAATTTGGAAGGAGGTATATTGTGAATAAATTTTCAGGACGCTTGAATCAACCTTTCTAAAAGATTAAAAAATTAGCCTTGGCCAATGTGGCTCAGTAGGTTGGAGCATTGTCCCATGCACCAGAAGGTCTCAGGTTCGATTCTGGCCAGGGCACATACCTAGGTTGCAGATCCAATCCAGGTCAGGGTGCTTATGGGGGGAGGAAACTGATTGATGTGTCTTTCTCACATGGGCGATGTTTCTCTCTCTCTCTCCCCCTCCCTCCCCCCTTACTCCCTCTCTAAAATCAATTTTTTAGAAGAAACTTTAAGTAAAATATTAAAAAATTAAACGAGGGCAAGATAACACCAAGTGTTGGCAATGATTGGGGAAGCACTGAGAGTTGAAATTTGGATTGGTATATCCACTTTAGAGAGCAAAATTACAGTATCTTATAAAGCTGATGTTATCTGTGCCCTGTGACCCAGCAATTTCACTTCTAGCTGTATTCTCTTAGCACCAAGTCTTTGATCATTTTGTTCTCATAGTCCCTAAAAATCCTAAAGGAATTTTGAAAAACCATGTACTCCTTTGCAGTTTAAGTTAGACATATAACATTGGCCAAAATTTTAACATAATAGTTTTCAGTGAACTTTAGTAAATATCACTTAGCTTAGTGGATAAAGCATTGGCCTGTGGATCAAAATGTATATAACTGGGTCTAAATGCCATAGTAATTCAGTACCTCCAACCATCATTCATTTTAAAAATACAATAAACTTGATGATTTGGAAATTTTACATCATTTTCCTCCTAAACTCATATATTTTGTCAGTTATCAATTTATTGCCTCACCTCTGAATGCACCCTTCAATATATGCCCTCCAATAATGGAACTCCTTTAAGTAGTGCACCTTTAAAGTCAGCACAATGTTAAGTTTTCTCAGTAAAAGGCATGCAGGGAAGGAAACGGCTCTCCTGTAGTTCCCCAGGTAGGCAACCTGGGTGTGAAGACTTGCCGTGGAGCCCGCCCCAGCCATGGGCCCAGACTGTCCCTCTGTGACCTCGCAGCCTCAGCCTGACCTTCAGCCCTTTTGACACAGAAACAAGCTGCTGCATAGACGACATGCTTGCCACTGCCTGGCCTACTCATGGCTCTGGAGGC